GCACTGTCGCGGTTCGACTCCCGCTGAGGGTGTTAATAAGACCGATGCGAGGTCGAAACTGCAGTCCACTGATTCCAGGATGATAACTTTGGGGAAAGCAGGGTAATGTGAAATTCAATGGGAACGTCAGCTCAACTCATCATTGTGGGAAAATTCTTCTTCTACCAGTCCTTTATCACCTTAAACGAAATTGAGTAAATACATCTCATATTCTTTGTCCATCAGTATCAACTATTTTTTTCTTTTATGAGTATGTAGAGCATGTAGGATAGAGCCGGTTGGTCTTCTTAACTTAGAGAATTTTGCAAGAATGAGTCCTTCATGTTGCGAAAGTAGGATCAGCTCATTTTCACTCGAAACGAGGCAGGATGTCTCATGAACTAACTTGATCTGACCGTCTCAATAATACAAGACTACTGCAGTACAACGGGAATATGCTGTCGTTTTCTGGTGAAATCGACTTACAAATAGCTTCATTATCCACTTTCGTACGAAATGAACTGCTCCACAACAATATTCTTGACTTATTGTTACCTTATTACATTTGCAAGAATGAGACCCGGCTCAGAAGGGGTCTGTCAAGTGGCACAACGGATAAAGCTCAGTTAGTTTGCATCTAAATCAAGGGATGACGTCTTGTGGACTAAGTCAACTTTAATGTCGTATTAGAGCAAAGTGAATATCAGTCGGCATCATCTTGCATTTTCATGCAAAGGCATGAAATGACATATGATACTATTAAGTATAATATTTGACTTAAGGTTAGCGAGTAAGTAGGTGTATGTTGATTTAAGAAATGTAACTGAGCCGATATCCATTATGGAGGTCTCCTTTCGTTGTATAGAGGCTGTTTGACATTGTTTTCGCAACTTGGTCATATTGGTAGGAAGACTTAGCGGAACGCACCTAGTCCGGAGTCCATGGTCTGCATGATCATTTCCGTGGACGTGGTACATTCCCAAACGTTTCGCCGGCATCGTAGTCGGCATCGTCAGTGGATATCGCCAT